AAACGGATTGAAAGCCTCATTGATAGGGAGTATCTAGAGAGGGACAAGAACAACTCTCAGATATACAATTATCTCGCGTAGTGTCGTTTGCTCGACGAAACTCGTGAAAATTCTTCTTTGTAAATGACATGGGAGAGGTTTGATGTTAAATCTCGTCATATGTACAGTAACTAGTATCCTCCTCGCCCGCCTCGATTTTCTTTTTCATTTGCTGACTACAGTACTGTATTTGTAAAGCATATTCACGCCTTCAAAATTATTCCACAAGATGGCATCAGCACTTGAAAAATTGGCAGCCTCTGTTATCCCTTCTTTATGCTATTGCAAAATTGGCACTTTGACGAGGTGACCATCGTTTGTCCTCTTTATGATTAAGAGAATTTGGTGGGTTAGATTTTTTTTTTTTTTTTTGAAATCTCCAGAGTATAGAATTCAGTTTAAATAATAAATTAGATGTTAGAGCTACCTGCTAAAAAAAATTCCGGAAACCTCTGGCAATGTTCTTCCATTGATGTTTGTTGGATGATCACATGCATCCGTCTGTGAAGATGATTGTTGAGCAGGTTTTTTCTTTAGCTTCTTAGGCTTTATATAAATGTCACTTAGTTGTCGTTTGATATAAGGCATGAGAAACTTTTTTGGGGTAGCACAATTGACTGTCATCTACATTAATACTTCAAGAGTTAATTAGTTGACTAGATGTGGCTTAGATACATAGGATTAAGTCTGAATTAACTTGAATTGTCCTATAGAAAAAAGTGGTCTCAATTGAATTATATTAGTTATGACTTGTAATAAATAAAAAAGATTAAATTTTTTCATTAAAAGTTTTACACTATTTTTATTGTATTTTATTTTATAGCGTATATCAGACAAATATGTAACACTTTATTACAATAATAAGTTTTATCCAACTAAAAAATATGTAACACTTTATTATTTATTTAATTTGTGGTTTAAGTTGAACCTCTGAAGCTGTTAGCACCTTTGACTGAATAAAAAGAATAGCAACTTCCCGCCAGTGTAGAATTTTAAAAATGAATCTCATCATCTATATAAATAGCATAATTTATTATAACATTATTTTTTTTATATTTGATATTTTCCAGTATCTATCACGATTGTATTCCCATCTCTATTTTCAGATTTATTCCTATCATAACTTTTTTCCTCTTAACCAAACCAGGCCTTGATTAATTTACTGGGCAAGAATTTAAATCCCATTTAACTGTTAAGACAAAAATAGAATACAACAACAACAACAACAACAACAACAAGCCTTTATCCCACTAGGTGGGGTCGGCTACATGGATTGCAAGATGCCATTGTGCTCTATTATTTATCAAGCTTTTAGGAATATTATTAATTAACAGATCGCGTTCAATAACTTCCAAAAGTGTTCTCTTAGGCCTTCCTCTACCTCTCTTAACCGGACTCAAAGTTATATGTTCTACTCTTCTCACTGGCGCCTCCCTTGGTCTTCTTTGTACATGCCCAAACCATCTCAATCGATTTTCTACCATTTTTTTCTCAATAGGTGTCACCTTCACTTTTTCGCGTATGTGCTTATTTCGAATTTTATCTTTACATGTATGCCCGCACATCCATCATAACATTCTCATCTCTGCTACTCCAACTTTATGCTCTTACTGTCCCGTTAGAGCTCAGCATTCACTATTATATAACGTTGCCGGTCTGATAGCAGTGCGATAAAACTTTCCTTTAAGTTTATTAGGCACTTTACGGTCGCAAATAACTCCTTTAGCTTTTCTCTAATTAAACCACCCTGCCTGAATTCTATGTGAAATATCTCCACTGATTTAGCCATCATTTTGAATAATGGCTCCCAAATATCTAAACTTTTTCACTTGAGGTATAATTTGATCTCCCAATTTCACTTCCAAATTATTGTCGAATAGTCATTTACCAAATTTACAATATAAATATTCCGTCTTACTTCTACTCAGACGAAAACCTTTCGACTCCAATGTCCTCCTCCATAACTCAAGTTTGCAATTAACCTCTTCTCTTGTATCTGCTATAAGAACTATATCATCCGCGAAGAGCATACATTTCGAAATTTTCCCTTGAATATGTTTCGTCAAAACATTTAAGATCAAGTTGAACAAATAAGGACTCAGAGATGATCCCTGATGTAGTCCAATCTTTATAGGAAAATCTTTGTTTGACCACTAGGCATTCTTATACTAGTTTTTACCCCTCATACATATCTTGTATGGCTTTAATATAAGCAATCCGTACTCCCTTTTTTCTAACGCTTTCCAAAGCACTTCTTTGGTATACGGTCATAAGCTTTTTCCAATCAATAAAAACCATGTGTAGATCTTTATCTTTACAACGATACTTTTTCATTAATCCCCTTAGTAGATAAATCGCCTCTGTAGTTGATCTACCTGGCATAAAACCAAACTGATTCTCAGAAATACTTGTCTCCAATCTCAACCTGTGCTCAATTACTTTCTCCCACAATTTCATTGTGTGGCTCATGAGCTTAATCCCTCTATAGTTAGTACAATTCTGAATATCTCCTTTATTTTTATAAATAGGAATTAATATACTTCTCCTCCACTCATCAGGCATTTTCTTGGACCGTAAAATCACATTAAATAACTTAGTTAACCATCTCACCCCTTCTTCACCTAAACATTTCCACGCTTCGATAGATATACAGTCAGGTCCGTTGACTCTATCATTTGCCATTTTCTTAAGAGCATCATTTACCTTCTTATCACGTATTATTCGATAGAATGACAAATTTTGTTCTCCTTCACCAGTTACTAAATCCTCCAAGTTACTAGATGAATCCTCTCCATCATTGAAAAGTTTAGAAAAGTAAGTCTCCCATCTATTTTTAATTTCATCATCTGTAACTAAAGTTCTTCCCTCTTCATCCTTAATACACCTTACCTGTTCTAGATCTCTTGATTTTCTTTCCCTACTCTTGGCAATCTTATAAATATTTCGCTCTCCTTCCTTCGTCTCAAAGCTCTTATAAAATTCTTCAAAAGCTTTAGAACGAGCTTCACCCACAGCTCTCTTAGTTTCCTTCTTAGCCATACGGTACCTCTCCCAATTTTCCTCATTGTTACACAAATGTATGGCTTTAAAACAGTTCTTCTTATACTTGATTTTGTCCTGCACACTATTATTCCACCACCAAGACTCCTTATCTCTCGGACCAGAACCTTTTGATTCTCCCAAAACTACTTTTGCAACCTCCCGTATCTTTTTAGCCATATCCTCCCACATGATGTTAGCACTTCCTTGAGATTCCCAAATTCCTTTATCCAAAAGATTTCGCTTGAAAATATCTTGCTTCTCACCTTTTAATTGCCACCACTAATCCTTGGTGCTACTACTTGTCGACGTTTTTGGATTTTACTCATAATACACACATCAAGGACTAGGACCCTATGTTGTGTCGTTACAGCATCTCCGGGGATCACCTTGCAATTTTTACAAAGTCTTCTATCTGTGTTCCTAACCAAAAGAAAATCAATCTGTGACCTTGAGGCTCCACTTTTGTAAGTGATGAGATGCTCATCTCTCTTCTTGAAACAAGTGTTGGCAATTTTAAAATCATACGCCAATGAGAAATCAAAAAGAGTTTGTCCTTCATTGTTTGGCTCTCCAAAACCAAAACCACCATGCACCCTCTCATACTGACCAGCTTCCCTCCCAACATGCCCATTAAAGTCTCCTCCAATAAAAATCTTTTCACTTTGTGGTATGTGTCGAATCAACCCCTCCAGATCCTCCCAAAATAATTCCTTAAGACTGGCTTCTGTTTCGACTTGCGGCGCATAAGCGCTAACAATATTAATAGTCTCACGTCCAATTATCATTTTTAAAGAAATAATTCTATCTCCAATTCTGCTAACTTTACAACGTTCTTCTTCCACTCCTTATCTATAATGATGCCTACTCTATTGCGTGCACTTACTTTTCCTGTATACCAAAGTTTGAAACCTTGAATATCCTTAACTTCTTCTCCATGCCATTTTGTTTCTTGCAGGCAAAGGATATTGATTTTCCTTTGAATCATAACCCCGATAACCTCTACAGATTTACAATTCAATGTCCCAACATTTCAAGTACCAAATCTAATTTTGCTCTCATGGACTAACTTCTTTAGCCGCGTGCGTCCAGAATGACGCGGTAGCCCTTGCTCATTTAACATTACATCCGGGCGCCGATGCAGCGGCTCTAACTCACTTATCACTGTACTCGAGCCATGCAGCGCGTTACTTACGGGCAACGACCTAGCATTAACATTATAACGTCTATTGTCCATGTTCATGATAGATTCAACAAAGTTTTATATTGGCTTGATGGCCTAACACAACCCTCCTCCTTTACCCGAGCTTGAAATCAGCTATAAACATAGGCGGAGTTTAAGACAAAAATAGAATGAATTGAAAAAATAAAAAAAAAATAGATAAACCATATTTATTAAAGAAAATGATAATTTAGTACATAAAATTAGAAATCATAAAATTATATAGTATAATATATGCAAATTTATTTTATCATACAGAAGAAGATAATTTAATTATTTTAATTTTTTCAATTAATTTCATTAACATCTGGCGACCAAAAGGCCACTAAGTTTATGGGGAAGGTGCAGGGATCTCTCGGCTGATATGTATTGTCTATGGACAACTGCAGGTATATCAAAATAATTTTTTATAAGCTCGAGAATTTGAACAAAAAACGTTAAATTCTTCAATTTTCTCTTTCCATGTATTGGTTTATATTTTGGCTCTCCTTCGGTCCTTACCACTGATGTGAATCATAGCTTGATTGCTGAGCTATTCAAATCAGGGTTGGCTTCATACAACAACGAAATCCTCATTCAGTTACCTTATATTAATGATAATTTTCAAATTCAAATCCAAAATTCAATGCCATCAATCAATTCACGCACAGAAAACAGAAATTACAATTAAGCCTATCGTTGCTTTCAAAAGAGAGAGAGATGAAAGAAAGAAAGAACCATGTAGATTGATGGGTAAAGAGTCAGGTCCCAAAAACAAAAAACAAAAAGAAAAAGAAAAAATAGTAGATGTATAAAGAGAATCACTAAGGCTCAGACGGATTTGGCGGCGGAGGCGGCGGGGGAAGAAATGGAATCGGGATCGGAAGTGTTGGAGTTGAGAGGAGCGCGAATGGAGGAGGAAGGGAGGTCGTCGTCGGGATCGTAATCAGGATTGAGATTGCGATCGATGGCTTCACGACCTTTGTCGAGGCAGGATTTGCAGGCGATCTCGATGGTGATCCAACCCAGAATCACTCCGGCTATTGCTATCACTGCCGTCGTCACTGCACCCATCCCTCTCTTTCTGTCTCTTTCTGCGGGAACAAGAAATCTCGGAGCAATCTTCTGATCTTCATTCATTCCATTGTTCACCTTAAGAATCAGGTAATGGGCCGCTTAGTTGGGCCTTTCAAGGGGTTTCATTTGATTCTCGATTCCATTTAGGCTTAGCGAGGCTTTGATTTCGTTTGAGCTTTTCTTCAATCACAAGATTTGGGCCATTATCACCCTTTGACCACTGAGAAATATTGCATAGTTCCGAAGATCTTTGAAGCTCCGATTCTTCTGACTTACTGCCTCCGGTTTTGTATTATCAGAGCAACTATTATTTTTGACTTATATTTTTTATAAACAAATTCACTTATTCTAATAAACATTTATTATACATTTTTTTATAATTTATATTAAAAAAATAATTAATGTATGATTATATTAATTAATAAAGAGCATTTTAGTTCACTCTTTTTTTTTAAATATAATTATTACATTTAATCAACTGTCTTAAATTATGTAATACAATTTCCGCCCACCCCCCGCCCCGGTTTCCTCCCTAAATATAAAAGACGAGGGAATACATTTCTACCAAGTGGCCCCAATGGTGAATAGGATTTTGTGAAGCCGACAAAATATCATCTCAACCTTCCAGATCCAATACTTGTGACCTGAGAAGGAAATGTGTGTCACCGTCAGTGGGGTTCAAAGCATCTCTCATCAATCCTTACAATTCCCTGTCTGTTTGCATGCAAAGTGCCAACGTTATCTCGCGCGTGTGTGTAACGCAATTTTACAATTTTTATACTGTTATTATCAAATTTTTGGATCAAGAGATGATAAATTTATGAATATAGCAGGTATATATTTTTTACAAACAACAATGGATTTTTAATAAAATTATATATATTATGTTATTATTTTCGTTCATTTTGTTATTGATGAATCATACCCAAGTCTTCGTTGAAATTGTACAAATATTCCTTATATTTTTATATTATACAATCTAATCTAGTTTAAAATAATTGAACTAAAATGCTCCTTAAAACCAGCATATATTATATCCAGATCAATCATCCAAATACACGCGAATTAAAATAAAAATAATAATTGATCGGTTCGTTGGCCATTAGGAAGCCAGACTTAGGCAACTAGCAAATGAACTGATTGACATCATTTCAAAAGGTCAAAAATTTTCCTTCTGAAAAGGACAATGGGACCTCTCCTCTCAGAGGAGTGACATTCAAGCAAATAAATCTCCCCCACAACTGAAACTTCACTATCATCAAATAATTAATTTAGAGTCTCAATCTTTTCTCATCCATTCATGACTACCCTATCTTCCGCAATGGAAAAGAAAAACTCATTTCAACGGCTAAACCACTTCATAATTTGCCACACCCACTTCTGCATCTGCTTTGGCTGCCCATTCAAGCAAAATATTTCTTCAACTGAAGCACTTCTAGTACGTTCACTGTATACCTTTCAAATATTTATAACAAGGTTTATAGGAAGCCACTCAGATGACAGAATTTCATATTCTCTCGCAATCCTCATGCCTTTCAATAAAAAAAAAATGAAGTCTTGAATCAATTGTTGAAACACAGTATGGCACCGCAAATCCACAATGTTAGGCATAAGCCATCCCTCAAACAGCATCTAGCCAATGTGGGCAACAGGAACAACATTTACATAATTCCATAGATTCACCTCAGATGCCTACCCCGCCATGAATATCAATCAGGCTGTAGAATTTCCAGAAGGATGCCACCCAAGTAAACCACACAATAATATATGTTTGCCTACAAGAGTCAATTCGGATAGCTGCTAAATTACTTTTGTGGTTAACAGAGGTTATTAAGGTTCAATACATAGTGAAAAATATAGTGTGATGTTTCCCGAGTTTAGGCCACCTCAGAAGAATCTTCTCTAGGTCTAAGGAAAATGTGGTAAATAGCCATGAGCAAAGGGATTTGAACATGCAGGTGGTGCTCAGTTAATTAAGGGGAAACCATAAAAGATATTTACTTCTAAACTTTCAAATGCAAGAGTTGCTTGGATCCTAGACAAATCATAACTTGCAATGTCAATATGGTCTATAATTCCAATCAGCTTTGAGTTTGAGCCTTTTATACAGCATAATTTTCATTTAGCTATTGTATAACATGAAATAGAGCAGCATGACAAGTAAAGAGAAGGACAAGAGAGTAGGCTTGCATATGCAACACAGATTGCATGCAATCTTTAAACAACATGAAACAATAAATGGTCCATAAATGGTATATACATATTTAATTTGTATATGTGTATAGCCATGAAAAATGGGCAGGTGAACAACGGGCATCTTTTATGTATTTGAATCATTCACCACTGGCAACAAAAAACGAAAATAATTTATACATCATGGCCATAATTAAAAACATCAATCATCAAGCAATTTGATTTTCTTGCCTGAATTGCAAATCAGTTTACGAGGACTGTATAAATTAACACAGGTTTCATGGCTTGAATTAACACAGAAGGGTTTCTCCGCATGGTATTTTGCACAGTTTGAGATTCCAATCACAGTAATTAGAACCTTGGGAGCAGAGTTTGCAGCCAAGTGGAACAATAAGTGGTTCACAATCATGCTACCGAGAACATTCATCAAGGTGAAAGAGATTAATGCACTAACAATTTTAACAATACTACATGTCAATACCAGCTAAAAGCATGTTCTTACTCTACCACCTCAACTTTCAGACCTTTGCCATTTATATATAAATTTCTCTTCAACAACACTTGCAGTACAACGTTGGAAAACAATGGAAAGCTAAGCAAACAGAACCTGAGAGCTTGAAGGAGTTAAATAAGACAAACTTTCTGGCGCATCAATTACATTCCATTGAACACTGAAGCCCCGTTTTTTCGAACAACTTTCTTCTGGTTTCAGTCTTGAGATACGACCAACTGCAATGTGAAGATTTTTACCCACGACATAAATATGGCAATCACAAGCATTCACAGCAAAAGGTTTGCATATTTGCTCAGGCAAAGGGGGGCCTTCTATGGCTTCCCAAGTATCGTTTTCCATGTCATATACCTTAAGCTTCATTCTTTCAAGCTCTGAAACAACAAATAAGTGCCCATAAAGCACCACACTTGATCCAGTCCATCCTTCTCTAAGTCCAACAGCCATATTTTCCCAGTTATTAGCTCTTGGATCGTAGACCTGCCCCCTAGGAGAGACATAAAAAGGCCATAACCAACCCTCTGTCACGAGAAGCTTTCCATTAAGAACTGCAGCATCGTAAGATGCCATATTTGTTCCCATGCTGGCAATAGAGTACCAATTACCATTGTGAGGGTCCAAAACCTCAGCAGAATCAAGCTCAAAAAGATCAGTGCTGTTTCCCCCTGCTACGTAAATCATCCCATCAATCACTGCACTTGCAAAAAATGACCTAGCAGTAATCATCCGATTCATGAAAGTCCAACGATTTTTCTGCACCTCATATTTCAACGCCAGGTCAAGAGGACAATCCACATCAGAGACCATACCGCCACATACAAACAAAGTGCCCTCATGAGGAATTGAGATACACCTAAAACCATGGGGACAAACCTTATCCTTACAAGGCATTGAAGGTATAGTGTGCCAAGAAAAGTGGGTAAGGTCAAGAGCCTGCCACGTGATTTTTCCAGTGCATTTGTGGTAGGCACAGACAAAAAGCCAAGGGTCTTTCAATCCCAATTGCTTCCTGTGAGTAAAAAACTTCTCTTTACTACCAAATAGAAGATGCCACTTTTTGCAGACAGCTCTACAAGCAGAGTGACTCTCTACAGGAAGGCGGACAAGACAGTTAAGCGCAACATCATCAGGAAGGCCTGGAATTAGGGGTTCTCCTATAACAGACAAATCTAACTCTCGTGAAGAATTAGACAGAGAAGATTGGGCCACAGCTAGTCTAAACTTTGGGGATAGTGTCACTTGAGGATCCCCAAGCTTGTGCACTGGCACCTGTTGAGATGACAATCTTACACGCTGCATCTTTCTTTCAGGAGAAGATACTTGAACCGTTGAGAGACACTAAGATAATACTTTCTCAAGCATGAAATTTATGATATATATTATGTTCTAAAACTATACCCAATTTTTAATCCAGTAGGAAGAGTCTATCCAAGTTCTGTTAAATTGATTCAGTCAGATTTGTCGTAGAGTCCCAAATCATATACTAGCATGAAGAAAGGAACGAATTCTCCCTCAAATATAATCTAAATGCTGGTAGAATGCAACTCGCAGAAAATTCCCCTTCTCAAACATCCCCCACGAAACTCAAACAAGAGATATTGTATCAAAAGCCAGCAGCCCCATCACCACTTGAGCTAATGAAGATTTTAACCTGGGAATCAAAAGCAAAAAGTTGTAGCAGTAGATATAGAGTTGCAATTTGCAGATAGCAAATTCACAAAATCCTAGGAAAGAACAGTTTAATCAGTTCAAAATCTCAGCTATATAGTGAAAATAAACAAGCGAACGAGGGGAAAAAAAATAAATAAAAGCCAAAGCCTATTGAAGTTTCTATAGCAGGCTTTGGGGATTGATCATTAAAAGAAAGGCAGTCCAGAAATTGCATGTTTCCAGTGACAATAAAGCCACACCAATACGTAGGGAAATTAAAAAAAAATTAGAAAGGAAAATGAATTGAGGTGAATGAAGCAAGGAGCTTACAGGCAAGAAACTGTCGAACTGATAACTGATTGAGCACAGATAGATTCGAAGACGGGGGTGACGGACTTCGAGTCTTGAGATGAGATGAGATTCAAGACTAGTTTTGCATACATATACAGGAGGAGGCGGTGACGAGTATCAATATCATTATTCTTTCCTATCAATGAAAGATTTGATTATTCTGTAGCTAACACAACTACACAAGGACGCCGGTACTCAGATTCATGCAAAGCCACGCGCTTTTGGGTTAGCCATGGCACGCTTTCGTATATAAAAATTAAAAGTCCCACAATTCAACTGTTCAAGTGCTGCCCGTGGCTACACGCGCTGCGAATTCAGACCGCAGCCACTATACATTATTCATTCATTTTCTTTATTTCATCGCTTAAGATCTGAGAAGGAAGATGACAGGCTAAAAAAGATGAAGTACTTAAACGTGTAATTAAAGCAAATTAACATAATTAGTAGATAATCAAGGATAAATGGGAATTATGGGAAAAGAGCTTATCATGAACTAGACAGAAGCTTGAGGAACAAAACAAGCAAATTCTGGTGAGGAATGAATAGTTGGATTCCATGTGCTTTTTCGATTCGATCGGAAATGGGACCACCATCGCTATAGTTGTAAAGAAATAGTTTTTTCCCCTGTAACATCTGCTCCTGAGCCTTGACAAAATTGGCATTTTCTTTAGATTTATGTGTTGACAATCTAGATTCGTCTCTCGATTTACATTTGTTCAATTATTTCTCGTAAATGTTTTTATTTAACGCTTTATTCTCAAATATTTGTGCCTTTCACAAAAAACTAGAGTATCATTGTCACGGTATTGAAGCTCCTTTTTTTTTTTAATGTGTTGATCAATCTCTTTATTATTGGAGCTCCTTTTTTTTTATATGTCAGCTTTAACTTGATTAATCTCTTCATCTTTATTAAGTCGACCAAATCTTTAAAATATAAACAAAGAAATCAAAATATTTAGAACTCATGAAAGAATAAAAAATTTAAATTTAAGAATTTGAGAGCTTTATTATTTATTGTTTTGTTTTATTATTACAAATGAAGGGTGAGAGGTGCTTATAAACTTTCTCTTTATTTTAAAATTTTCTCGCATCTTTTATAAATAGTAAGTATGACTCCAATCCTATGATGTTCATTCATTTTCCAAATATTTTATAAAAATATTTACAGAAATGTATATAGATATTTACAAGGATATTTTTAATGACTATTTTCAAGATATGTGTGTGAAATATTTTAAAATATCCTAAAATATATTAGAATATTTTAAACATCTCCACATTTATCTATAAGTTTTAAATATTTTTAAACTGTTTTAAATGCTTCTAAAATATTTTGAAACATACTAAATTTTTTTTGAATATCTTGAACTCTCTTAAAATTCTTTACATTGTTCTAAATATCTCCAAAAACACTTTATTCTTGCAAGTTGTTCTCTTTCTGGCCACAGGTTGTGACACACCGCGCATTATACATCATAATTAGTATACAAAATATAAGCAACTATGGAGTTTTTAAGCTATCAAAAATAACGCAAGTCATTTTGGGATACGTGTGGGTGTATTTTATCCTAATCAAATAAGAAATAAGTATAGCAATGAGGCAAAGGATTTGAATTATTGGTAAATGATTATTGGCCGACTTTTTAATCATCTAGCGTCCCTCAATTCTCAAACCTGTAATTTTGAATATTTCTTTCAATATTTTTATAATTATAAAATTTCTTCTCTCTTGTTTCTTATTTGCGCTTTTTTGGTTCCTTTCCATTAAAGTTTCTTAATCTTGTTCAATTGAAGCAGCGATCTCGAAATATCTTTAGTCGGATTGCATCCAATAATTAAAAGTGCAATTAAAGTGACAACAACTAAAAAATCCACTGTTGGATTGGATTTTTTTTAATTTCATTATCAATCCAAAAAAACAGGGTCATGTCACCGTATTGATTGTATTTGTAATGTGCCTTTTAAGTTTCAGCTAAGCTTTCAAGCATTCCTGTTGTTGCATCGCATCATTAAAAAAAAAAAAAAATAGTAATACATCTGTGGAATGACAAGCACATTACACCACTAAACATCACGAACCAATTATTAAATAAAATGTTGACAATTTGAGGTAAAAATTTACGATATTTCACATATGGCTTCTACTGAACTCATTTTGCATGAATTTTTTCGCTTGTAAGATTTTTTTTTTTATTTCAATCCAACATCCCATCAAAATTTTGAAAATGATGGTGTATAATGAGTGTAAGTTTAATCTAATAGGAAAAAATTATGTATAGGTCTTGTGAAACAAACTTATTTACTAATAAATCTCACAAAATTCAAAAACCATGACCAGATCCCTTAAGAATTTAAAATTAGGCTGCAAAGATAATAACACTTTTATCAAACATATGTTACATCAATCAAATAATTAATTTATAATTATTTTATTAGAAATTTATAATTATAATTTTAACTTTTTATAACTATAAATTCACATATTAATAATTAAATAATCATATGCTATTAACAAAATCTAATATTAATTATTTACAACTACTTTATTAGTAATTTATAACTATAATTTTAAATTTTTATAATTGTAACTTCATATATTTAATAGTTAAAATAATTAGTTTAATTATTTGATATATAAACTTATAATTATAAAAAATTAAAGCCATAGTTATAAATTATTTCATTGATATAATATATATATATATATATATATATGTTTAATATGAGTATTATTGTCTTTTTATTTCAATTTCAAATAACACTCAATCCCAAAGGACTTAATTATGATTTTTAAATTTTATAAAATTTATTTATAAATAAATTTATTTTATGGGACCTATATATAATTTTTTCATATAATAATCCGCAGTCCCCTCAAGTGGTGAAATTGATTCCCCAAATGTTGGGCCTGACGTCACCTCCAGCCGTGAGTTTATTGGGCACCGATGTGGTATTGGATGTCGCATTGGGTCAAGGAGTTAAAGAAATCGAAAAGTTGTCTCATTCAACTAATAGATCCAATGAATTTGGCCCAAAATTTAATGGGTCTAATGACCCAAAAACAAACGGGCCTTATTTGATTGGTCCAATAGTCCACTGGGTGTTGCGAACCTAATCCTCAACCACGAGTTCTGACTCGGCTTTCCAATTTCAGTTGCTAAATTAAATAAAAAATATCCGACCAAGATATAAATAAATAAAAATATGCAAGCACGAACTTGAAGCCATGACTTCAAGGTAAATGGAAAATTTTAAGTATGTAAACATTAAAAGATTGAGATTGGTGGGTTTTCACGGGATAAGATTCAACTGTACTTACATCTCAAATTCAACGGCCAATACCTATTAAGTTAGTTATACGTTTTGACAAATATGAGAACTGAGAGGTAATCGATTTTTTTTATTTAAAGTGAAAACTACGAAGGTGATATTATACCAAACTCTTTGGATTCAAATTCCATGAGGATTCAGAAATTTCAAAAGTATATACCATTGACCCATTAGCAACATTTTTGAGTTGTTCATCGGTACATAATATATATCTTGAACTTGCTTTAACTTTCACGCAAATGAACACACACACACACACCCACTAAGCCTCTTGATTGCTTTGCCTTCCGTATCCGCAAAATGAATATACGAAATGACAACCTTTAGCCACAGTAGAGTTATAAGACACGACCACACATTGTGATTATCGAACTGAGCCAATTTCTAAGTGTTGGTACTTTTATGTCACTAAGCTGAAAATGGAGCTAGTTCCCTTTTCAATGATATCGTTATTCAGATATTGCCCAGAAACTAACAATTTTTTTTTTGTAAATTTATACATGGTTTTGACGAACAAATTATTAATTAAGAGATAGCCCTTCTTCTAATTACCAAAAAGCTCCAAATCAGTGCAATTATTTGTTGCCTTTCACGTTCGGCCACACGTACACACAGACCTACAAAAATAACTCCAATTGTCCTGCATGCTGCAGCTCAGTCCCATCAAGTGCTCAAGATTTTTCTCGGGATCGATTGCTTCGAGATTATATTTCTTACTGTAATCATCAGAAAAAATAAAATAATTAAGCAGATATACAATATACATCAAAGATTAAGCCCCAAGGCCAACGTTTAAAGGTTAAAAGTTCTATCAGGCAATTAAAACTCATTAATTTTGGTATATGTATTGCATACATACAATATATAGTAGTCTAGCTTCAGTTCTATCTCACTCGATGTTTCTATTGACGTAAACGACTCTAAAACCAGTATTTGATTACTATATTATGTTTATGTTGCCACCCTTAGTAAAGAACAGAATATTTTCCCAAGAGTATATATTCCAATCCTTAAGTAGCAATACTTTTGTTTAAACTATACATGTTTTGAAGTCCATGTCTCGCATGAAATTTAAATTGAGCCCCCCCTGGGTAACTATTACACACACACGAATAGCTGGACGAGTGACGAACGAGAATGATAATCTTACGTACATAATTCTAAAATGCTTCTTAGAATATTTGTAATCCAAAACAACAAAAAAAGTACTGTAATTTGTGCATCGGTGATTGATATATAGTACTGAAAGATCAGAATACCAGAAAGTTCATGATATAGATTCAATTTGTTAAAGAAGAAAAAGAAGACTGACTTGATTATGAAATACTACAGGGTTATGAAATACTACAGGGTAGTATGTGAAAGTAATAGTTTATTAGATGTAATAAAACATGACTTTAGTGATGATCAGTGGATGACACTGTTTAACTTTTTGAACTATGGAGGCCGGTGGATGGGGACATGATCAGAAGGGAATGGCTTTCTGTGGTTTTTGTTGTGTCTGCCATTTATGCTGTGCTGCATAAAGCCCTTGACTCACAATGTTTGGTTTTGGTGTCAACATCACCTCTCCTTTTTGCACAAAGCGCATTTACAAATGAAAGATTAGATATTATTTTATTTTTAGCTGAAAAGCAGTTTTTGCTATTGCTTTCTTATCTATTTTCTCCAAGTACCTCTATTAGCGATGTTATTTTGTTCTTTGAAGCGGGTATATACTTATTGTGTTTTACTCTTTTATTTTATTTTTTTACATATTCTCTTTTTAATTTTCTCTTACCTACTTCATACATTTTGGTTCTGCATCCATATTGTATAAATGCATGCCATGATTACGACGTCGCACCCACTATCTTATAAGACTTTGGACATGCACCTAAATTTATTCTGAACATGCTCTCACAATTCTCAAGACAGCAAGTCTGGTTCATGTACCAGGACAATAAAAATGCCTTCGAATGATAATGCTTGACCAAGGGGTGGAAAAGGC